GACAGCAAGGAGCTGCTCAGGAGATTCTGCAACACAGACACAGCTGCATTCTCTAGAAAAACTATCATAAAATTCAAAGAGCCATTCTCTATAACATTCTAAAATGCAGTGTTTAAACCTTTACATTCATACCTACTTTCTTTAAAAATCACCCTCAAGTTACAGAAATAAACAAATTAGCATTTATTCTGATTCAAAATAAAAAACTTCAATAGATCTTAAAACACTTCCATAAATCTGAAGGAATTGTGGCATAACTTTTCTCCTCAGACACATTTCTCTCTGGCTAAAAGGAAAATCTGCCAGTCTCAGCAGGCACTGCATCACATTTTGGTCACTCTGCACTTGATGCACTGTCAGCTTTAAAACCTAAATTCCAATGTTGAAAAGCAACAGAAAAATTTAAGGAAAGCTTCAGCACCTCATTACTGAGAAGATGGTATGAGCCCTGCTGTTTTACTCTGCACTGCTCCCCACAGTCCTTGACAAAGTCCTTTTTTGTTATTTCAGGCAGCATGTTCCTGAAAACTATGTAACCATTCAGAAATCACAGAAAGCTAAAGGGTTGGAAGGGACCTTAAAGACCACCTAGCCCTAACATTCCCTGCCATAGGCAAGGCCACCTCCCACTAGACTGGGTCACTCAAGGCCTTGAACACTGCCAGGGCTGGGGCATCCACAACTTCCCTGGGCAACCTGGTCCAGCATCTCACAACCCTCAAGCACAAGCATTTCTTTGTAATACCAAACCTAAATTTCCCCTCTTTCCATTTGCACCCATTACTCCTGATGCAATTTGTACTCATGTTCCTGAAGAAAAGTCTCTCCAGCTTCCCTGTAGGCCTCCTTCAGACACTGGAAGGTTGCTATGAGGTCTCCATGTAACCTTCTCTCCTCCAGCTCCAACCTTCTCAGCCTTATCTTAGCCTACAGCAGCAGCAAAGCACAGCAAGGCTGAAAGCCTCAGGCACTTAAAGCCAGCAGCACGCTGCAGTTTGCATCCCTGTATTTCACCTACCATCCGGTTTGCCTTCTGCTGGGGAGCCTGGCCTCGGGAAGCAAACACAGCTACCGAAGAGCCCGAGCTGCTTTGTACATGAGGCCATCACAGCACCGGTGCTTGCTCAAAAATATCGAGGAGTTTTGAAATTTAAAAAAAAAAAATAAATGAAGGCACAACTGAGCTGTCATTAAAAGCAGCTTAAAATATTTTAGTAAAAACGAAGAAGAACTCTCAAATACTGCTCTTAGCCCGTGCTTTGTGCAGCACGCCGCGCTCCTCGGCACGCCGGCCGGCAACAGCAGCCGCGCACGGGCGTTCCGCGCAGCAGCGTTCCGCCCGGCCCCGCCCCGCCCCGCAGCCACTCCCGGGCAGGGCCGGCCCGGCTGGACGTTCGGGACGGGACGTTCCCTGGGAGCTTGGCTGCTCGCCGCCAGGAGCTCAGGTGTTAGGAGAGCAGATCGAGGGAAGTGATCCTGCTCTGCTCAGCCCTGCTGAGGCCATATCTGCAGTGCTGCCGTGCTTTGTGCAGAAACAACAACGCCCAACAGGCAGCGCCGCTCTGCTGGTACAGGGTGCAAAACTACGGTCAGGTCACACATGCGGATCATTCAACGTGGGAAGGACGGCAAGGACAGCACCACGAGAAACACGGCCCACGCCACTCCCCTCCACCCGCCTCCATTCCCCGCCGCCTTCTGCCCACACCGCCACCCAGCCCCGGCCGGACAGTGAGCCCCGTCCCGCTGAAGGCCGCGCCCCGGGGCACGGCCCGGCCTCACGGCAATGCCCGGCCGGCGCCGGCGCCGTCCGGCAGGTGAGGGTGCAGGGGAGGCGGTACCTGCGGGCCCTGCCGTGCGGCCGCGCCGCCGCCCCGAGCAGCCGCGCCGCCAGTGCTCTGCTCAGCCCTGCTGAGGCCATATCTGCAGTGCTGTGCCCGGCTCTGCTCAGCCCTGCTGAGGCCACATCCGGAGTGCTGTGCCCGGCTCTAGGCTCCTCTGTGCATGGCATTAGCTTAAGGCTCACATCGCTCTGAAACGTGCTTCAAAAGTGTCCCCAGGCCTTCACGTCATTAGTGCAATCTACCCTGGCAAGGCCAGCACGGTCCCGGCTCTTGCAGCTGACTGTAGTACATCAGTACACGCACCAGTGTCACCTGCGGAGGGCCTGACCTGCAGAAGCCATCCCACTTTTCCTCCATGTGGAGCTGTCCTGCCTGACCCACCTCTCCAGTGTGAACAACATCCATTGCAAGGTGCTGGGGGAGTTCTGATGTTTCTGCAGCTCTGTTCTGGGACAATACTTACCAAGAACTGCCGTTCATGCTCCTGGACAATGATTGTTTCCATCTGAATTAGGAAGTGGAAACTGGCTTACAGGGGCAAATGGTTTGCCTGTGGTTGGCTGGAGATGGTGTAGGGCCCAAGAGATAGCTTTGGACTGCAGAATGGACAGAAACACAGCCTGCAAAGGAACCTTTTCCTCTCCCACATCAGACAAGTTTCCATGGCATCCCCCTGTCAGCTTCCCAGAGGTCACCTATCCCTCCATGCCAAAATACTCTGTGTAATAGGAGTTGTGCTGCCCTGTCACACAGTGGACCGTCGCATCCCAAAACCAGTCACACATACCCCAAGCCAGACCCCTTGAGTGCCAGAAAGCGCTTCCACGTTCCTGCAAAGCTCTTACGAGTTAAAGTCTCTGCTCACATATCCCATTTCTGTCCTGCCTAAATCCTTTGAGGGGAAGCTTGAGGTTAAGCTCCAAACAAATTGATACCTCATCTTAGGAGAGTCTCTCGAGAGTCATGGCAGTTCTTCCATGGTCTCCCTAGACACACCAAGTAGTGTTACTTCAGGGTATGCAATTCCTACATAAATTCTTCCTTAAAACAAAACAAGTGTTCCACAACAGCACAAAAAGCAGGGTTTGGCCGAGCAGCCGCGGGTGCAGGCAGCAGAAAAAGCCACGTGGTGGCGATATGCTCGTGGAAGTGCCGCATTCCAGGGCTATAAAAGCTCCCCGGCAACATTTCAAGGGCTGTCGCCGTCTCCACATTTTCTAAGGGACCAGATAAGAGCAGATCAGGCCTGGGGGTGTGCCCGAGGAACGTGGCTATGAAGGAGCACCCCGAGATGCTCGAGGCCTGATGTTCCAGCTGGCAGACGGCTATGGCAGGCAGCACATGGTTTAATGGCATCTAAATCGCAAGCTTCACTGCATTACGGGTTCAGGTGGCTTTCACCAGCTGCATCTTCCAACAGTGCTGCTAAACAAGAAGCCAACATACAGGTCAAAATTCTTTGCAATGAAACAGTAATCTCTTAGTATTGCGGATTATTTGGGATGCGCAATTAACTCCAAATCACTAATTACAACAGACTCAGCAATTGCATTATTAATTTATTTTTACATTAAAGAAATTACAATACAATTTCTAAAACCATTTATAACTTAGGCTGTTCTTTCTTAACAATTGCCACACCTGCAGTACTGCATCCAGCTCTGGGGTTATAAGCACAGGAAGGACATTGACCTGTTGGAGCAAGTCCAGAGGAGGAACACCAAGTTGATTAAAGGGCTGGGGCATCTCCCCAACAAGGAAAGGAGGAGAGAATTAAGATTGTTCAGCCTGGAAAAGAGAAGGCTTCAGGGTGACCAAAATGCAGCCTTGAACCTGAAGGGAGCCAACGAGAGAGCTGGACAGTGGCTTCAAAGTGAGAGTAGGTTTAGATTAGTTGTTACAAAGGAATTTGCCTCTGTGAGGATGGTAAGGCACTGAAACAGTTGCCCAGAGAAGCTGTGGATGCCCCATGACTGGAAGTGTTCGAGAGCGGGTTGAATGAAACTGAGCAACTCAGTCTAGTGAAAGGTGTCCCTGCCCATGGCAGGGGGTTCGGAACTAGATGGTCTTTAAGCTCCCTTCCAACCAATATGTTGCATAAACATATAAGAAAATAAAATCTGAATCCTGCAATTAATTAAAAGTGATGGGAAAAAAAGATTCATTAAATTTTATAGTTTTGTTTGTGCTGTGTTTGAGCTGTGAAAGTAGGAGCAATTAACTTGTTTTATTTGGTGGAAAACACACGGATCTAAGATCAAATATGTAGGTCTGCGTGTCTCAACCCACGCAAACACATGTGCAGCTCAACAGGGATTATAGTGCTTCCCAGAAACACTGCCTGGTCTGGCAGAGCATCTCAAATATGACTGATCACTGGTACACATTATGGCTGCTGTTCATTTACCTTGCCACAAACTGTGCAGTGCCCTACTGCTTTCAACCAGACATTGTTCCTGATAAGCCTTATTGCAAGCACTTCAGGTAACTGCAAATCAAAAGGGGGGAAAAGTCAAAAGGAAAAAGAAAAGTGTTGTGTAGTTGCAGCCGAGAAAAGCTCAACTATTAGCCCTCGCCATAGTGGTTTAGGTCATTGTATGGCTCCTCAGAGTCCCGAAAAGCCAGGATCACGAAAGTGACTTAGGAAAGTGTTTCGGGACTCACGGCAGTTCCTCTGTATGCACAAACTGTTGCTGTTTCAGGGTACACAGTTCCTAAACAAATCCTTTAAAACAAAACAAAACAAAACAAAACAAAACAAAACAAAACAAAACAAAAATATCACCCAACTAGAAGAAAAATAAACAAACATACATCTAAAAAAAAAAACCCAAGAAAATTTTTTTTTAATTGGTTTTAATTCATAAATTCGGTGGCATCCTGCTCAGTAAGCCGAAACACAGCCCAGCCCCAGCTTAAACAGAGCCCAGCCCCGCCGCCCCCCCGCCGCCTGCCCGGCCCTCGCCTTCCCTGGGGCCGCGGCGGGGCCGCGCCGCCTCCATCGCCGCCTATTTCGGGGCAGAGGCGGCGGGGCCGCTCTGGCGGGCGGCGGCTCCGGTGAGCGGGCTGCGGGCGCGGGCAGCGGGCTCGCCCTCTGCGGCAGGGCGGGGTGGTGGCGGCCGGCCCGGAGCGTTCCCGCCG